GTGACCCATCATATATAGATTTGTACACTGGAAGGTTAGAACCAAGTGTACATTGACATGCTTCAGGATTTGAGCTATTGTTACGGCATTAAGTAATGGCATTTGACCATGTATGCTGATAGCTAGTTGATCAAGCAAGGCTAAAGTACAACAATTATTCTTGAGAAGATAAAAATACCAGCAATGATACTAGGACACAGTACTCATGCTTTTATACCTGAATATAAGTGCTTGATACCCCTTGGAGGTTAGGTTCTTGTGATACTTGATCATGCTCCCAGCATCATGATGAAACTGAATTCTGCCTGTGCATAACTCCCAAGTGTCTGCCACATTTACCTAAAGCAGCACAAGATCATAAATCTCTGCTTCAAAAGGCATGACGAAGGTAGACAAGAAATCTTACGGATTCAGCATGAATTGCTTGCCGAACTACTTCATTATTTAGCCATGCTGTAGCAACTTCATCGTTCTGCAGTTTCCATTTCAATATCAATCATGTCAATAACTCAAACAAGGCAGCTAGTTGAGGAACAAATGATGCAAGCACCTCAATATATAGGAATTAGAATTTAGGAAGGCTAATTAGGAAATTAAAGAATCAAATTTTGAAAAATGAAGGATGCTATATTCATTTAGAATCTGATAAGCTAGATTCAGGATATCATCCCTACTCTCCCTCACCCCCCGCATCTCCTCATCCTCCCCCCAACCCCCAAAAACACACACACACAAACACACAAGATTTTGCATTTTTCATCCCTGAAAAGCAAAGGGCAATTGCCATGCCAACTGGTGCCACCATAATTACCTAGATTTACACAAGTAAATAATCAAATTAGTAGGTTCTTGTCAAGGTTGGATGCCTTCTCTTGTTTATGCTTTCGCAGAAGATGATGGTGCAGGAAACAGATTGAGCTGGACAGTATATGTCCAGACCACCTCCTATTCTTTCAATACTTTCACTGAGTGGAAATTTTAAGCTGATGACTGTAATTGCAAGTCCTAAATATACCACATATTAATGTATCAGAGTTTGCAATTAGAACAACATAAAAGTTCGACCACCTCGCAATTATCGAAGCATTCAATATACCAAACTATCTGTTGGTCAAAAAATTTTTTTAATACACCTAACTCTCTGTTTATAATAGTTAGATGATTGAGAAATTAATAAGCCATGCCTGGAAGGAAGCAGAAAAAATACTTTGCAAACATGAAGTAGTGGTGGTAAAATACTGAAATATCTAATCTTAGCGGGGTGTAATGTGTCACATTTTGAGATGATATGAATTTCCTGCCAATGTTTATCGGTCCAATAAAAAGCTGCAGCACAAAAAAAGTATAGAGGGAAATACTAGTAGTAAGATTCACTCACGGTGCATAGAACACTCGTGGTTTTGAGAAGCTGGGGCCAAGTTGGGACAAGTCCATCTCTCACTGGAGATCTGAGAGGCCATGCACGGCCAAACATTCTTGTTCTCACAGGAAGAGGCCTTTCAGTCTCACCTAACATCCTGAAGCTCACTGGCAACTTAGTATTGCCATTTACCATTTTAATCGTAGCTGGACCATGATAACATGGTTCCAGAATGTCATATATGTTTAATCCCTCAAGATCCTGATTAAAAAGAAGAATTAGAATCCTCAAAATAAATAAGTACAAACTCTTTATGCAAAATCATAGAAAGTAACTATCCTACTTCATCAACTTTTTCAAGCTTGCTTTCACAACTGTCACTTGCAGGGTTATAATAGTTTCCACGGCACTCAGATATAACTTCCTGCATCAGAAGAAGAAAAAAGTTAATAAAAAAAATATAAAGGAAGACTAAGAAGGATATCATAAGAAAAGCAGAAATAGATTATCACAAACCAGATAATGATCTTTTTTATCTATTTCCACAGCCTGACATATTTAGTAGGAAAGAAAGATTTCTGCAAGAGTAGGGAATTAAAATGTGCAGTGCTGATACAATTATTTTTTTATTTTTATTTTTTAGCGGGAGAGTGATGGGATTTAAGGAGTGGGGAGGGGAACGAGGATTTAAACCCAAGATCTCTAAATTCTGGGGCCTCAACTTTAGCCACTAGACAGGCCTTATCGGCACTATTATACTCATATATACCTTGTATAGGTCATCTGAGATTAGGCCCATCCCATGCGCAAAAGGAACAAGAGCATTGCCATCAAACTCATCATCTGTAACTCCATTTCCCACCATATAACCCTGCAGGCTGTGCAATTATTTTACGAAGAATAATAACAGTGTCTTAAGTACGGGGAATGTTGTACCTTAAAATTGAGAACAGGCTTTACACCTTCATCTATTCCTGAAGATTATAATGAATGAGCAAATTAGCCTTCATCCTTGAAATGTATGCAGTTCAGATATCATAAGATATACCTTTTGCAACTTCATAAGACAGAGTTGGCACATATACTCCAGCATATGACTCCCCAACAATATAAAATGGGTTAGAGAGGAACTCTGGATAGAGCTCAAACCACTGGCAATACAGCAACAACTTTTTAAAATATGAAAAATTTAGTGGACCAAAGAATAACTGTATAGCAACAATCGGATAAGACCACAGAGTGAGTATTCAGTGTTGTCAGATAAAGGAATTATTTCAAGTTAATACCTTGAATAGAAATGTGTGAGAATCAGAAGCAGTCTTTAGGTCTCCTGTTATATAATCAGATTCGTTCCCAGAGTAAGAAAATCCAACACCAGCAGGAGAGTCCAAATACACGATGTTGGAAACCTGATGAGTAAGACTGATCTTTGTTGATCTCAACTGATAACATGCAAGGAAATGCCTAAAATACTCTCTCTCTCTCTCTCTCTCTCTCTCTCTATATATATATATATATATGTATGTGTGTGTGTGTGTGTGTATTCTTCCTTTTAGGAACAAGCATTATCATTTTTATTTGAGTCTTATGGAATTAAACACACTGAATTTCCTATATATGGATATGTATGCTTCAGAGACATGAATCACAACCTTCGACCAGCTGTATGGATTGAGATGCAAGGTGGGCAGGCTATCGGGGGTCTTTCCTGCCTCAAAATTGAAGGGACCTGAAAGACAATTGAAAATTCTTGATATCAAGTCACGGACATAAGATAAAGATAATGTCATCTTCTCCCCTTTTTCCTTATGTTCGTCTCCTTATTCTTTTTTCTTTTCTTCAGATAGTTAAGATCATAAAAACCAAAAGTATGCAAGGAATATGCAGAACTAAATCGTTACATCGCCCATATATACAGTGCCAATTTATGTCTCGTTATAACAGATAACCATTACATTCGAAAACTGCAGGGAAGTTCCATTAGCCATCATGGTTACAAACAGGGGAAAAGATAATATGAAAAATCTACACCCCTTTACTTCACCGGGTCAAGAAGCAGAATTAGAGAGCATAAGAATCAACGAATGGAAACAGAAATTAGACCGTAAAATATCATATATGCTTGCCTTCCAATAAAAGTATGTCAAGTTAGAAAAAGAAGTACCATATGAGCATTTTACAAGACATGGCTTATTTGCCAGTGTCAGAATTCAATTCAGTCTTCAATTAATTAACTATCAAAGTAAGTAATTAAGACGTGCTAATCTCAACTCGAAGAAGATATAACAATTCAATCAATACCGTGTTCATAGACGAATCCATCAAAGCTCGAACAACCAGGACCACCATTGAGCCACAGAACTACTGGATCCTGTGACGGATTCCTCTCAGAAACAACAAAGTAATAATACAATTTTCTCCCACAACTCTCATCAACTGTCACATACCTGTAAGGAAAAAAAAAACCCCATTCGAGAAAACCAAGAACCAGCATAATCCCATCAAAGTATTTTCAAGAAACTTACTTTGACAGTTGCAATACAATACAAGAGAAATGGTGAAAAAGAGTCGTACCCTGCATAGTGTTTAGAAGGTAGAGTGCCATTGAAACCAGGAATAGATGTTATGAGTGCACTTTCAGGCGCTGATTGTGTTCTCACAAAGCTAACCGCTACACAGATGAGTAGCAATGTGAAGCAGCGGAAGACGACAGCATTCCCAGCCATATTGATTTCAGGAGCTCGTGGTCTGGTGATCTCCGGGGCAATTTGTACCAGTGGGTGCTAGTACTGAGTGCCTTAAATAATTCGTACCAGTGGGTCCAATATGAAGATTTTTCTTTTTCTTTTTTAAACTACAAAAATTACGGACGTAGATTTCTAGGAAGAATAAAATAGTTGGAAAACCAGCTGAGCTTTTATAAAGTGGTTTGGGTTTTATTCGGCAGTTAGTTAAGGCACTCTTAACATTTAAAACCATTTTGCTATTGTTTTGCGCAAAGCGAAGCATGGAGGACAATACAGAATAGATATTTACCCCCGCCCACAAAAAACTTTCTTTCGTTATTCATTTTTTTACATCAAAGATGGAAGTAATTGCCTTTTAAGACAGGAAAATGTACACGCCTTGCTTTTCTTTCCCAATTTTAGGGGAAGGATCCTTCTCCGCCACCAACTTGAAGTAAAAGTAAAATTAAAAAGAAAGAGCGAATAGCCTTTTTATTTTAAGGGGCCTGAAAAATGGGCAGGGCCCAACTGACTAAGGAGGACGTGTCCAGTACTAGAGGGAGAGAGGGCCCACAGGAGGTTGAGTTTGGTCAGCTAGCTCCCCTTTATTAATATTAATAGTACAATATGAGTGAGTGACGATGATTGAAGCGGGGGAATGGGCCCAACCCAAGCCCCAAGGTAGCAAAAGTTAAAGTTGGCAGCATGTGTAGGCCAACGATGATGGCGGGCCCACTCTCTCCCGCCATCTTAACTTTCGTCCAAGTTGTGATGACTGCATGCGCAATCAACGACTGGACTGACCGAACCGAGCTTCCAGCTCGACATTTTAATGGCGGGTGAAGCAAGTGAAAAATAATAATGAGGAGGAGGAGGACTGAAGACTGAAGGAAGCGGTAGTTTTAAGTACTTTCTTCTGATAAGTCAATATATGTAAATTACTCAACAGTACTATCAGTAATCAAGACCTTCATATTTCTTCCAGAGTTCCTGAAGATTAATTATCAATTTATCAGCTCTCATTTGCCTTTTCAAAGAAATCAACCTGTGCCATGACACTCAAAACTCATCCCTCCCTCATTATGCTGCTCACAGGTAGAGGTAGGTTGGATTATACAAGATATACAAGAAACTGAAAATGTAAATACGATAAAGTCAAAAGAAACTCTTTAAGAAAAAATTGTTAAGAGCACGACCACTCATGTGATGTCTCCTCTTTTCCCATGAAAGTCAAGTTACAGAATGCATCTGTGCTAGCCATCGTGCTATTGGGCTTGATTTGCTTGCTTCTACTTTGCTGCACACTTACTACGTGAAGCAGGTTCCGAATAGTGCCACAAAAACTGCAGCCAGAATGGTTTTCATTGCCACAGGACAGCGAGATGCACGAGAGAAGTTGACCCTCTGGGCCTGGTCTCTGCAAAATCCAAATGCAGACGGTGGTACTATTAGAGCAAAATATTTGCCATAAGTTTCTATACCATGCCTGCTCATGTGTTCTCTTGATAAACTGAACTCAGTATTGTTCTTCAAACCTTTGCGCAGCCAGCTCAATATGACTAGGATTCTGATTAGAAGACGGGGATGAAGTAAACAAGCAAATTAAAAGGGATGTAATGCATGCACTGTAAGCGTAAACATCTTTTGAGACCAGAACTGAAATCAAGGCTATCCAGTAGCTATATTCTATACCCAAATATACTAGCCTCTAACCTTTCTGAAGATCAATGGCCCAAAAACAAAAGTGATGGAATTTAAGCAGAGGCAAGGAAAACGTAAAGGTGTTCATCTTACTTCTGTAATGATGAGAGTGCACCACAATATATTGTATTATCTGGCAAAGGAAGCTCGTTCTTGTCCATCTCCAGATTCACCACGCTAAGATAAACTTCCTGACCTAGGTGCCACGAGTCAAGATTCTGTGCACGAAGATTCCAAATACCAGCATTGTCCAAAGAAACTAATATGGCTGTCCAAGCTCCCGGAAAAACCTGTTCCGAAGTCACCCATTTATCGGAATTCCAAGTCATTCAGAAATTGTCATACACCAATATTGGACAGGGAAGATTTTAATTTTAGCCACTGCAACTATACTTATCAAACATATATCAACCAAATAAGGGGTGGCAGGGGGGATAGTTTCATACTAAGATTAAAATCTTTTAACCACTAATTAGTCCAGATGCAAATATGTTGGATATGTATGTCAAGTCTGGGCAGAAATTCTCATGCACTGCCAATGCTAAAAAACAAATATATATATATATATATTTCTTGACATAATCAGAAGCAAAAGACTTATTAAATCTGCATTGAGGATTTTTTTTCCAAATACTACATGGCATGTATAGATACGTGGCATCTTTGGAAGCCCGCTATAACCATGCCCAGAACCCCCAATGGCCTAACAATGAAAGTGGCAATTTTCCAGTTCCCTTGTCAAAGACTTCATTTTCTTTATGCAACAGTATAATCCAGCAGCGGAAAAGCTTTTGAACTTGAGTCTCTAATATACGCCAAGTCGTGAAATCTAAGACACTTCAAAGTCAAAATTTTCAGACTAGGAATACCTGGGTAGTGCAGCGAGCTACACCATCCCACTTGTTGTAAGTGCTTCTACTGTTCTCCGTCCACACACCATTATCCATCCTGCAGTTCATGGAAAGACAATACTGCTCAATCTTTAGTATTCTAAAAACTAGAAAAAGGTCATATTCATCAAACCTGCATGCTTACCCTACAACAAAGAAAGCATATCCATCCAAGTGGTAACTCTGGACAGTTGTGTCATTGTTCTGGAATATTATTTCCATAAACCCTTTGAAAGTGCCGTTGATTACAGATGTGTCAACTTTTGCAGGTCTATTCATCAGTCTATTTGGGAAGTCAAGCTTGAACACCCCCGGAATGTTAAATTGCTGGGCAAGCTTGAGAGGTGTTGAAGGTGCTAAGTAAGAAATACCATTAAGAGTTGTACGCCACTTTCCATCTATAAGCTCAGGAGGCCTATTAAGGATCACATACACATCAGTCACGGTGATCTGGCCATATTTGAAAGATCCTTGAGGGTTTGGGCGAGCAGCGCCAGCAGAAACATTCCATCTATAAAAGATTGTCGATATATTGCAAGAACAATAAGACCATAAAACAAGGACGAAAGTCAGAGTACCAACATAAGATATAAACAAGAGAATGCCAAGATGGAGAAGGTATGAAGCAGATAAAGTTGGGAGGATAAAAACATTTCCTCTGGATACTGGTTTTAGTAAGCATTGCATAAAAGAGCTGCAAAAATGTGCATTGCTGGTGATTGTGAAGGGCCTTTCCAATAAACGTTGCTGGTTAGTAATTGAGTGTAATATTAAAATGAAGCAAAGTCTCAGAAAAAATTCTAATATCTAAATCCATGTTTCACTACAACCTTATGGATCTTGCTTGATTCATTGAGAAATACGTGTCATATTCATTAGGAGGGTCTGGAAGAGGACCTGATGCAGGTCCAAGTGAATTTGAGTAGTGCAAGATAGAAACCCCAATAGCCTTGGTCCAAGCAGAGGAATTCACAAAACGTGGGCTGGCAACAATGTAGTAATCACTGCTAGCATTTTGATCCATCGTGACCAAGAATGAATACGACTGACCAACATGGATATCCATGTTTGTGTAGTTCTGTTGTACTGTGTATGATCCTTCGGTCTCCACAAGAAGCAAGTTGTGGTTCTGGACTCTGAAATTCAAGCTAGTAGATATACCAATATTGTGTACACGTATACGGTATGTTTTCCCTGTTGCATTGCATGATGAGAATGCACACTTCGTCAAAAACTCAACGTAATAAACATAACTCAAAACAAACACAATGTCACTTCTGCAGATGATTAAAAAATCAATATCTTTTTATGTTCTCCATCCTCTCTGGAACTCCTATAGATATCCTTTTATATAAACCCGCCATGGCATGTTGATTCTATAGGTTTTCAGAGAGGCTTCGAAGCTTGAATCACCTAAAGTGAAATGTAAAAGGACTATCGTATGGACACCTTCAGGAGTGGACCAGGGCATTGTTGCAACATTTAAATAAATGATTTCAGTTGCATTTTATGTCCATAGATACTGCACAATGCCCGTGGCATATGAGGAGGAAACTATCTAGGTAAGACTAGTCTTCAAGGTCCTGCTCTTCAAACGATCCCAGCTCTTCAAATGATTCCATTACAAAATGATTGGTTCGTGACTCGTAAGTAAGGGTGATGCCCTACGTCAAGGTTGTAACTAATGCAAAGCATGTGTCACTGAACATATTATTGCACAACATAGAGATATGAAAAATACCTGGATCCACATATATTGTCTGGAAAGCAATACCATCTGGGACAACTGCACTATCATAGCGGTACGGACCAAATCCATTAATTAAGATACCGTCAGGTCCACCAAGGCCAACTCCACTTTCAACCTGCTCTCTGAGTTCCTATAGCCCAAAAATACCCCCAAGTAAACAACAATCAGCAAAAGAGCATACCTAATTGTATAGAGAGGCTGAAAAAGATTTAGAATTTAGCACCAACCTTGTGGCTTTTGATATACCAGTCACTAATAAACAGAGTGATATCTCCATCTGGTGTTTCAAATGGGACTGCAATAACATCTCTATTGTTGATAACAATTCCCCCATATCCACCAGCAGCTCTCTGGAAGTATAGGGAAGGGAAATAAAAGAAACTGCCAATCTGATCTTTGACCTGAAACTGATATGTCCAATTCCATCCAGCAGGAATGGGACAGTTTGTGCCAGAGACTCCGTCTTGCCAAGCATTTTTCCGCTGTTGAATACCATTCCTGCAGTTAAATTCATTCAGTTGAATCAGAATCACTGTCATTAATTTGATATATTTAATAATTTCATGTTATACCATGTGAGAAGCAAAGGTTCGTCAAGATTATTCTTGACATTGACAACAACATTCCAGTTGGTGGTGACATTGAGAATTGGTCCAGGAAACTGTCCCTCGACTCCAATCACCTAAAATTGGGTCTAAATGTTAGTAAAACAATCATCAGATTTGGACAAATAAGAGTGAAAAAGGAAAGCCAAAAGAAGGCAGTCCCCAAAGATAATGTGTAATAGCAGGGAAACCAAAGTCAGCTATCAGTTCAGATCGTTCACTCACTATTTTTTGGCATGAAAGGAATAAGAAAAATGAGTAAACAATAAATACTTATCTACAGGGTCTTTTTTCCGCATATTTAGGATAACCAACTAGCAAGTATGAATGTGGATAGCAATTCAACTTCATTGGAAGCAAGACTTTGTGCCAATATAGTTAGGGCGAAGGTAATGACATCAACTGATCATCAAAGTACTCTACCGAGAAATAGCATATTGCAAGTTTTATACTATGCTTAAAGAAGTACAAATTAGATGATTAACACCCAGACTGCATGTTTGTTTACTTTTATTTTCTTCCAAAATAATAAAAAGAAGAGAAGGAAAAGCTCATGCATTAAGCTTTTATGAGACCTTTCTTGGTTGCTCGGATGGATGAATGCTCCATTTAAATATAAACCTAAGGTGTACATTGAAATTCAAGCGAACTCAAAACCGAAGCCTATTGCTATTGACAGCCCAGCACACCCATGCAACCAGTACCAACATTCAAAGAAAGTTAAAGATGTCCAACCTTATCAGACCAACAATTAATGAACTTCAATTATGAATTTTGAAACCTAATGAAAGATGCCAATCGACTAACATCCGAAAGCACACCAATTTTCACATCCTGCCCTGAAACAATTCTCTCGTGAAACAAATTTTTCTTAGGATAGTTTAGCTTGATGCCTTGTGTTTAGCTAATTATTTACTAGCAACTAATTATTGCAGCAGGAGCATGAGTGGGCAGTCAAATAGCAAAAAGTTGATTACTTTAACCAGTGTCCAACGATTCATTTAATCTCCTAAAGGGCAACGTTAGCGAGTTTCAGCAATATATCTTTCAAACAACACATCCAGAACTCTATTTCTCCACCGAATATAGCAGGGGTGATTAAACACTATAGTGCTACAACTATAAACACAATCTTGATGTTTTCAAGAGGATAAAATTATACAATCTTTTTAATGATCAACGACCAGTAAGAACTCGGTACTATTACTCCTGCACCCACACTTGAAGAACCTTTCCAAGTAAGAAAACAAATTACAATGCAAGAAGGAAAAAACGAGGGGGAAAATTTTCCAATTTCCCCAATTGTTGTGCTAAAAAAATAATTAAGTTGAATTCTTGCTAAAACAAGAACTTTAAACTCATTTGCAAAACAAATAATACTACCAACTGCCTTATCTGAAAAACAACTAAAAGAAGATCTGAAACAGTAGTATAAGGGGATAAAGAACCTGTTGTTTAACTCCAAGAGGTGAAGCAGTGACATAAGAGACAGTCCAATCAAAGAAGACATAAGGATCTGTTGCTGAGCTAAAGCTAATCAAGCAGAGAACCCAATTAAACCAAAAGATACAGCAATAGCAGCTGGAGGAGGAGGAGGAGGAGGAAATGTACATGGGAATTGGTTGTCCAAAAGAACAAGAGAGAGACTCTAAGAATTTCCCTCTGTTCTTCTTTCTCGGCCAACACTTTTGCAGAGCTGTTCTTTAGACTTCTTTGACGAATTAGAATGGCTTTTGTTTTAGCGATCCCAAGACAGAATCTTGGTGGGATTTTTGGGAGGTGGCAAAAAGTGGCAAATTGCTGTAGCCGTAGTTTGGCGAAGAAATGCAAGCAGCAAATGTCGTAACAAGTAGTAGTACAGTGGAGTAGTAGCGAAGTGAGTGTGCCTGTTGTTTGTGCGAATGTGCGGTGGAAAGGAGCACGTGGTGGTGGCGTTGGAGACAGCTTAGCGGGACCGTCTCTTGGCCTCAGACGCCAGTCCTCACTTCTCAGTTCCGGCCCCCTATCTTCTTGAATTTTGAGCCGTTAGGCTTTGTTCGTTCGTCTGTTTTATGCTGCTGTGCTTTGATTATGCCAGTAGAAATTTTTTACCTACATCACCCTGGTTCAGGAAAGTTTAACGAGGATACGAGCAGAGCTATATTTGAGTTAAGCCAAGTTGGAACAGTGCATTGCTGGAGTTCAATTTAAGTTAAAATAATATTTTGAATTCGAGTTTGAACTTGTCGAATCTTTAGCTCGACTTCAATTCATTTTACTTGAGTTTGAGTCAAATCAAGACTGATAGAATATAACCAAGTTCGATTGAATCTATTTTAACCTAATCAATCTCACCTAATAAAATTTAATATTTTATTTATAATTTTAAACAATGATATAATTGACATTCACACTAACAAATATATATATATTGAAAGCTCGATTAAACCCGTTGAACCTACGAAATTAAGAATATAATACTCTAACTCGACTCGTGTGTATTATCGTACAACTTGAACTTAACTTGAGCCTTGTTAACGTTGAACTCGAATCGAGTAGTTGATCGAGCTACTTGCAAGTTCGAGTATGCGAATTCAAGTAGAGTAATTTGGTCAACTTGTAACCCTAAACATCATTGTCATCAACTATGAAGGAATTAGAAAAGTAGGTGTCAAAATGGTGATTAGGAAGAGAGCTGTGAAAAGATTCTTTTTTGTAGCATTAAACAAAATAAACACATTCAAGGTGTGTCTAATAAAATTGAAATATGAAAAATAAAAACTAAAATTTGAAATCTGAATTCCGTAAGATACCAAATTGTTAAGTAATAAGCTATTACTTTTTGTTGAGATCAAGTTTTTTCTAGGAAGTTTCATGCTATTTAATTAATTTAGATGTTATATTTTATATTTTTAATTAATAAAAAATATTCCTTGCAATTTCGTATCGGAATCGGCTTGAAAGTTTAAAATGAGCCACACGATCCCGATATAGCAAGTAAAAGTTTGGAACTCTGGCCCAATGGAGCGCACAATAATGTCAAAAAATGTGCGAATATCAGGAGGAGTGTTTCGGATCTGGGAGTGGGTTGGATTTTTGTATCTTTACGAGGTTTGATCGTTGGCAGCCCTGTTGAGCTATCCTCTTCCTCCAATATAGTGTATATTTTTTTGGAGCATCTTAATTCTCTTTTCCATTGCTGTACAAACAGATTATCAAAAACTTTACCATGAATATGCTTTTCTTCTTTTCTTTCTTTTTTTTTTTAAATATTATTGATATGTGGAGATTGTGATTTGAAATTACTTGAAGCAACGTCTTTCACGTTGGAGGGGTGCTTTTTGATGCATCAGATTGGGGACAGCTTGATTCCATTGCTAATTCCATTGAAGCGAGTAGCAAAAACCTCACAAAATCAAATAATACGTACTAGTTGGTGGGTTAGTTGGGCTCTTTTTCATCTCTTTTTGACTCGGTGACACCCATTAGCGCGCCCCTGCGTGAATGGTCCAGTAGCAACGCCTCTCACCAGTGAATCTTGAGGTCACGAGTTTGAGCCTCCGTTCCGCTGGATTCCTCCGCGCACTTAATGTGTTCGGGTCAGGTTGGGGTGCCGAGCCCGGGCCATAGGGGATTAATCGGACCCCATAAGGATTGACCCGGGCACCCCTGTGTCGACAAAAAAAAAAAGAAAAAAGACACCCATTAGCGCATTTGTCCTTTCGTCCCAGAATCTGAAAGAAGTCGATCCAATTTTCGCGTAATGCATGAAAATAGCAGAGTATCAGGATTCAATTTCCCGCTACCATAGAAGAAAATTGGCGAAGTCATTTTCCATTTTGCCACCCATAGTACTGCCCTTGACTCCTTTTTATTGTCTAAAAGGCCTTTTTTTTTCCCTTGATGGGAATAAGAACTTTAATGCATATGACCCTATTCATTGTTACAGATTAAAACATGTTTCTCGAGCCGTTTGCGGAAATTCATATCGATCACTCGTCCATACAATTATCACATCGACAACGATATTTGAATATGAATGTCTAAATAATTTCCATTTCTACCGTATTGAACTGACTAATGCTTTGTCATCCGCGGATGCGGGTATGCAAACTCTTTGTCCCTTCAATCTCTGTAATAAATAACAGAAGATTTCTCTGATCATGAACACATTGATCTTCATGTCAATTCCACTCTCTTTTGTTTGTTTAGTAAAGAGCATCTTAATTCCTCAATCTCTTCCCATAATTGATTTCATTAATTTTGGGGCGTCTCGCCTCTTAGGAAGCTTTGTTATATCAATGGATCCGCCAAGGATTATATGATAAAACTGGCAGCCATCAATTTGTTTGAATACTGCATCAATCGTGTATATGTGATTTTTATAGGCAGGCAGAAACTAGGTAGCCTATTGTAATTAAAAGTTCAGGGGATTTCAGTAATGTAACTTTGTTTTTTTTTTCTTTTTCTTTTTGCACCCAATAAGTAAACTTATCCGTCATAAGTAGCATTGAACTATGTAGCAAACCTTTTTTTGTCTTTGGGTTAAAAAAAAAGTGAACATTAATTACCAGATAATTAACTGGATCTATTTCTGGTGGAAACAAACTTAAAGCCATTATTGAAGGCCTAGCTCGAAGACGCTGATCACTTCTCAAGGTTTTTTGGGAGTTTATCTCTTGGTAGCTGCTGGCCCCTGTCCATTATTGGACTGGAAAGGCATGGACAGCCACCTTCCCTGCGGCAGCGGCTGAATTTGGAAATGGGTTCAGAAAAATTATTTACCACCGACCACCAGAAGGGAAACATAAACACTAGTCAGGCCCAACAACATTCCTCAACTTACTCCAACATCAGCCCTGGTCCATAGAGCAGCAACTAGTTCAGTGACTTTAGACAAAATTCGCAGTTGGACCATTCATCTGTTGCTTGTCACAGAGAAAATCAAATTCTACCAAAGGTAGAGCTAATAGTGAAATTTGTGACGGTATCAGATGTAATCGTCGTAAATAGATAAGAGTGGCTGTCGTTAGTTAGTTTAATTAATATAGCTAGTGGAGGAGTAGAGGCTTTCACACACTACACCCTTCTTATACATGCATGAGCAGTATACTTGAGGCTAAGGTAAGAGTTTCAAATAAAGTCAAGATTTTAGCCTACTGAAATAAATTAGCCTACTGAAATACACATGCTTTGGCATCTTCATCATACGTAAAAAAAACTGACGCTGGCTGAAATATATATATATATATGATTAAGCCAGAATTCTACAACAAAAAAAAAAATAATAATAATTTTGTACCAAACCCACTTTTTTGCTTTTACTCTCCTAAGAAATTAGAAATAAATAGTAACTCTAAACTTTATGTTTTGGGTAAACGCAAGAATAGAAATCACAGCTCATTGAAATGGTCCCACAAAATCCGGTTTTCTTCCTTGTGTGAATGCGGATTGTGACGCAGCAAATAGTGGGGTGGAGTGAAGCAATCAATGGTCGAGTTTGGATTTGACGGGGTCAAGATTTTTTTGTTTTTTGAAGCATACGGGGTCAAGATTTAGTTTAAGACCCTGAGAGATCGAAAAAGGAGCATGTCGAGATTGACCAAGTGGCATACGTAGTTGTGGACTCATGTGATTACAATAAGTATGCAAATATGTGACACATCTTCATCAATCAATTCATATTATTTACATATTAGTTAATAATATGAATTGATTGATAAAGACGTGTCAATATAAATATAATTATGTTTAGAGATGGAATAAAGATGTGTCAATATGTGATTACAATAAGTATGCAAATTCTAATATGGAGAAGCTGATGCAGACTTTTTTGGTTTAGTAGTAAGTTTTGTGGTATCGTGGACAGCAAGATTCAAATAGGAGTGGTAAACTTGTGGGTGTGGGAAAGTGGAGCGCAGTAGAAAAGTTCAATGGGTTGTCACTTCCACTTACTTACTTCACTTAGTACACCAACAGAAACCAGACGAAATAGAATTGGTTTGCGAGATGAGGAATTGGTTAATATTATTATTATTCTAGGTTTACGGTAAATTGAAATGTTGAAACTAATTGCAATCTTCACTTGTTAATGTAAGATTTTTTATTTTCCTTTTTTTTTTTTTCGCCTTCTAGCCTAGTTGTGTTTATAGGTTTTGAGTTCTTTAAAACTAATACTCCATCAGAGTGCAAGCATTTTCCTCTTTTTGGTTGGAGTCAAATTTTCTTTCTTTCTTTCTACCAAAGTAATTAAACTGAAAACTTTCGTGAACTCATCATATAATTTCCAGCTGCTTCACAGTGTTAGATCAAATATTCGTTCCAATGTTAATAATGTCTTTAAATTGGTAATTTTGACTATTCGTTCCAAGCAGGGACGGAGCCAGAAATTTATTTTTGGGGGGGCTGAAGTGTATTAAAAATTTTTTTTTGTGACGAAATAAATATATTTAATAAGTAAAATTTAGAATCAATAATTATAAAAATAATAAAAACATATAATTATACATACCCAAAAATTTGTTATTGATTAACACTTGAAGTATTGGTAGTTGATTTGGTCTTAACGCACCCGCACTAACTCTGTTGGATTTTGCTTCTTAGCTAGAACATAATTTGTTTCTCAATAGAAAAAGCTATTAGGCTTCTAATTATTTTGTAATTCAGATTCTGATATTGTTGAGCATTGAGCCTTTTCAACTTTGGTGGTGGCGCCATCAGTGAGTACCCCACATTATATTCTTTGCTTGTCTTAATACCTGTGGTGGATCAACTTTGGCAAAGAATAACTTGTTCGGCAATAGAGGCCTAAACAATTATTCAGCCTAAATGATTTAGAAAATTTATCTAAAAAAATCAACCACAGTGCGATGGTGATTTATAGATGGGTAAATTATATTTTACCTCCCTGTGGTTTACCCTTTTTTTACATAACCCCCCTATGGTTTCAAAAGCTATACATAACCCCCTCATGGTTTGGATTAAAGTGTCAAAGTAACGGAAATAGTCCCTCGTAACGGAACTTCTAAAAATGTC